TTTTTTTTTTTTTTTTTTTTTTTTTTTTTTTTTTCTTGTGCAGCATTAGGACACGATATAGGGCACCCTGGTGTAGGTAATGGTAGTTTAATAGGTAGTCGTAGTTTATGCGGTATAATGTTTAATGAGAGGAGTATACTAGAGAGTTATTCATCTTTTTTATTGATGGATTTATTGAATAGGAATGAGTTAGATATATTATTAGGGTTTAATCAAGAAATACAACAATTAGCTAAACAAAGAATAATTAGATGTATATTAGCAACAGATCCTTCTTATCATTTCTCTCTTGCTGATGAATTAGAAGAAATTAAGAAAAATAATCTTGAACAAACTACTCCTGCTGTATTATTAGAAGAAAAACAAAGAGATGCATGTCTTATGAGGGCAGGTATGTTATTTATTTATTTATTTATTTATTTATTTATTTATTTATTTTCTTTGTTTGCTTGTTTGCTTGTTTTGTTTTGTTATTTTTATTTATGTGTTTGTTGTGCTCAATAAGAGTGCTTAACGGCTTTATTAGGGTTTATTAGGGTTTATTAGGGTTTAGGGTTTAGGGTTTAGGGTTTAGGGTTTGTGTGTTATAGCGGATAACGCGTGGGTATTAACGAACTTCCCTCTGCATAGAAAATGGGGAGAAAGGATGGTCTTAGAGTTACACTTCCAGGTAATTTATTTATTTATTTATTTATTTATTTATCTATCTATCTATTTATTTATTTATTTATTTATTTTATTTATTTATTTATTTATTTATCTATTTATTTGTTTATTTATTTATTTATTTACTTGTTTTATTTATTTATTTATTTATTTATTTATTCAGGTGTATATATATATATACCTTAGTTGTATAAATATTCAGGTGTATATACAACTTATTAGTATTATTATTATTATTATTATATAATATAAATAAAATAAATAAAATAAAAAAAAAGAATAAAAAGGAATAAAATAAACAATAATAAAAAAAAGTAAAATAAAAAGATAAAAAGTAATAAAATAAATAAAATAAACAAATAAAATAAATAATTAAGATAAATAAATAAATAAAATAAATAAATAAATAAATAAATAAATAAAATAAATAAATAAATAAATAAATATGTTTTTCTTTTTCTTAGAATACACTCGACGAGGCATTCAAACTTCCCCCAAGTGCACCAAGTGTTATAGTAAGTTATTTATTTTATTTCTTTATTTTCCTTATTTATTTTCCTTTCTTTTTCTTTTTGTTCTTCTTTTATTTTATTCCTCTTTCCCCCCTTTTTCTTATTTTTCTTTCTGTTCTTTTTTTAGCTTTTTTTAAGTGTTGTTGTGGTGTATAGGCAGTTATTTGGGGTGTATAGGCAGGTATATTAAATTAGATAAAAAGGGAATATAAAAATAATGTTTAATATTTTATAATTATTTTATTTTATTTATTTTATTTTATTTTATTTATTTATTTATTTATTTTCTTTTTTCTATTCTTTTTCCTCAGTTACCAACAGATAGTTGTCTAGCCACCACCATGATTCATTTTATTGGTAAGCTGCCTATACACCTGAATATTAATATTAATTATTTTTTTTATTTTTTTTTATTTTTCTTCTTTTCTTTTAATAATTAATTAATTTATTTAAATAAACATATATATAGTGTGTATAATAATATATATAATACATATAAATATAAATAATAATAATATAATGGATATTTTTTGTGTGTTTTTTGTTTATTTTATTAAATTATTTATTTAATATATTACCTTTACACAATATAAATTAAATTAAATAATATTATTTATTTTTCTTTTCTTTTTTTCTTTCTTTTTCTTTTTTTGTAGATAACATCTTTGTTCCTTTTTATTCAATTCTTGCTTGGTTCTTCCCTGGTGATCTAGATACAAGAGTATGCGTCATGCAAGCAAACAGGTCAATTTCTCCCTAGGGTTTAGGGTTTAGGGTTTAGGGTTTAGGGTTTAGGGTTTATTATTGTGAATAATATATATTTGTGTAGATATTTTTTTGTTGTATACAGTGCAACATGGGAACGACTACGACAAGAGAGTGTACAGACAGAGCAGACAGCACAAGGAGAAGAATTAAAAGATATGCGTCTTGCTGGTGTAATTGCTGCACTAAAGGCATTAGAGGCAGAGATGCAATTTAATAGTGCTAAACTTATTACTGATGAGGCAGCAGACCCTAAATTAATTGATTGTTATCAATATGATGAACAACCTCTCAGAAATCTACTCGGTAAGGGTTTAGGGTTTAGGGTTTAGGGTTTAGGGTTTAGGGTTTAGGGTTTAGGGTTTAGGGTTTAGGGTTTTAGTTTTTTGTGTATACATAAAAACATAAATAAATCGCTAAAAAGAAGTATAAAAACAAGAAAAAAAGTATTTTTTATTTTATTGAATAATATATATAAATATATAATATATTATATATATTATATATATATATTTATGTATAGAGGAGCAACAAAGATTAATAGAGGAGCAACAAAAACGTGAATTAGAATTAGAAATGGAGAGAGAGGCAATATTTGAGGCCCAAAGAAGAGAAGAAGAAGAAAAACAATTAAAATTAGAGATGGAGAAAAAAGCACAAGAAGAGGCAGAAAGAAAGGCAAAAGAAGAACAAGAACTTATACAGTAAGTATATATTATATTATATTTTATTTATATTATTTATAATTATTATTATGTATATATTATACCTATATTATATGTATATTTATTATGTATATTATATATATTATATACACAAGAAGAGGCAGAAAGAAAGGCAAAAGAAGAACACGAACATGTACAGTAATCATACATAACTATTGCATGCATGTATGCATGCATGCATGCAGCAGCAGCAGCAGCAGCATATATATTTGTGTATGTATACTAGACGCCGTCGTGAGGAGCGCCGTCGTCGTCGTGCAGAGTTGGGCAGCAGCGGTAGCAGCAGCAGCAGCGGAATGAGCAGCAGCAACAGTCGTAGCAGCAGTTTTGGTTCGGGTGGTGAGGAGAATAGTGCTGCTGCTGCTGCTGCAGCAGCAGCAGCAGCAGCAGCAGCAGAAAAACATAGAGCTAGTGTATCCCCTGTTGCTGAGGGATTTAAATGTCTAATAGAGAGGGAGATACAAAGAAGTCGTCGCTCCTCTGCTGTGCATAGAGGAGGAATAGATGATGAGGATATAGGTGTAGATGCTGCTGCTGCTGCTGCTGCTGCTGCTGCTGCTGCTAATGGATGTAGTACTAGTCTACAGCAGCAGCAGCAGCAGCTCTCCTCCCTACCTAGCGACGTACTCACCTCCTTCGAGCCACAGATACAGGCACCAGGGGCCCTAGGGTGCGACGCAGACCTGCAGGCCTTTGCTACCCTTCTTGCTAGTAAATTAATGAATGTTAATGCTGCTGCTGCTGCTGCTGCTGCAGCAGCAGCAGAAGGGAAAGAAGATGATACTAATCGACAAACTCCTAGATCACCTAATCAACAACAGCAACTGCAGCAGGAAGTGCAGCAGCAAGTGCAGCAGCAAGTGCAGCAACAGGTGCAGCAGCAACAGCAAGGGGAACAGCAACCAGTGCAACAGCAACAGCAAGGAGACCAGCAGCAAGTGCAACAGCAACACCAAGTGGATCAACAGCAAGTGCAGCAGCAACACCAGCAGGAGCAGCAGCAACAGCAAACACAAACACAGCAGCAGAAAGTCATATTGCCTCAACTGCCGCTGCACCAATTGCAGACACAGCAACAGCAACAGCAGCCACAGCAGCAGCAGCAGCAAATGCAGCAGCAAGTGCAACAACAGCAAATGCAGCAGCAACCACAGGTGCAGCAGCAACCACAGGTGCAGCAGCAACCACAGGTGCAGCAACAGACACAAGTGCAGCAGTCCCCAATGCAGCAGCAGCAGCAGCAGCAGCAGCAGCAGCAAATGCAGCAACAACCGAATGAGCAGGCACCCAGTCTACCTGCAGGAGGTCTCCAAATGCTGCAGCTTCCCCAACTGCAGCAGCAGCAAGTGCAGCAGCAGCAGCAGCAAATGCAGCAAACGCAGCAACAAGTTACAATGCAACCGGTTCAACAAGCAGCAACAGTGCAGCAGCAACAACCTAATGCTGCTGCTCTTGTAAGCCAACAGCAGCAGCAGCAGCAGAATGATCAGGCAGCTGCAGCAGCTGCAGCAGCAGCAGCAGCACAAGCAGCAGCAACTCAGCAAGTAGCACCTCCACCAGCCGCTGCTGCTGCTACACCATTATCACCAACACCAGCAACAGCAACAGCAGCAACAGCAGCAGCAGCAGCAGCAGCAGCACCTCCATCCCAACCCCAAGAAGCATTACCCTCACAACAACCAGCAGTAGCAGCAGAACGAACAGGAGGAGGAGGAGGCGAAACAGCAGGAGGAGCAGCAGGAGCAGCAGGATCAGGAGGAGGAGCAACAGGAGGAGAAGAAGAAGAAGAAGGAGGAGAAGGAGGAGGAGGAGGAGGAGGAGGAGGAGGAGTAGAGCTAGAATTCGATGAGTATGGATTCGTATATGATGAGCATGGGTATGCATATGATAGCCAAGGTGTATGTCGTGGATACTTCGGGGAGGATGGAACTTTCTTCTACTTTGAGACAGATGCAGCAACAGCAGCAGCAGCAGCAGCAGCAGCAACTGATGCAGCAGCAGCAGCAACAACAACTGATGCAGCAGCAGCAACTACAACTACAACACAACAACAACAGGTACAATTAGAACAAGGACAGATACAACAACAACAACAACAGCAACAACAAGATCAACAACAACAACAACAACAGCAACCACCGCAGCAGTAGAGCAGCTCAAGAGGTAGAGGAGGAGGAGGAGCAGCAGCAGCAGCAGCAACTGATGCAGCAGCAACTGATGCAGCAGCAGCTGCTGCAGCAGCAGTAGCAGCAGCACACTGCAGCTGTTCCTTACAGCAGCAGCAAACTGCTGTAATAAATAACAAAGAAAGAAACATAATGAATTAATTGTTTGTCTTCCTTTCCTTAAGTTTTACAGCTGAGGGTTGCTTGTTTAGGGTTTAGGGTTTAGGGTTTAGGGTTTAGGGTTTTTTTCTGCATGTTTTTTGCATTTTTTTTCTTTTTCTCCATTAAATGTTAAAAATGCATTAAATTAAATAAAATGCAATTATTATTTATTTAATAAAGAAGAGCCAACAAGTTCAGGTGTATACATACACACCTTCTTGTCTGTTCAGCTTTGCTGCTGCTGCTGCTGCTGCTGCTGTTGCTGCTGTTGCTGCTGCTGCGTGCTTGACACTCTGTAGCTGCTTGCAGCTACTAGCCAAATACGCCTAGCTAGCCACAGCTAGCTGCAGCATAGGCAGCAGCATGTGAAGGAGCAGCAGCAAATTCAGCTGCAGCGTCCTGTGCACCAGCAGCAGCTAGTAAGGGAGCAGCAAGCTGCTTCGGTAGCAGCAAGTAGCTGCGCAGCGCATAGCTGCAGCAGGAGCTGCTTGTTGCAGCAAGAGCAGCTAGCTGCAGCAGGAGCAGCTAGCTGCAGCAGTGCTGCAGATATTGTTTAAGGAATAATGCTGCAAGTAATAAATGATGTTCCCCTCCTCTTGTAGTCTATACAGCAGACACAGCTGCAAATACACTGCTGAGGCAGCAGCAGCACTCCTATATCTAGGGTTTAGGGTTTAGGGTTTAGGGTTTAGGGTTTGGATTTCTTTTTTTTTCTTGGATTCCTTCCCCTTCGTTTTTATATTTGTATTTGTTCGTGCTTGCCTGCTGCTGCTGCTGCTATGAGCAGCAGCAGCAGCAGCAGCAGCAAGAGAAAACAAATACATTTATAATAAACCTGATGAATCGTTTAGACCCAACAAAGAAGTCGCGTCATCTCTCCCCACTTCTGCAGCAAATAATGCATGCATGCATGCAGCCCCAAAAGAAGATTAATTGAAGGAAATAAACAAATAAGTAACTATATAAATAAAAATAATTAATAATTAATAGTAAATAAGACAAAAAAACAAGAAAAAACATAAATAGTTGCTGCTTACCTTGGCACCATGCCTCTACGTTTCCTCTAAGGAGGCTCATTACCATCATTACTCTTCTGCTTTCTTCTGCATCTCTGCATAATAAAAAGGAAAAAAAGAAGAAAATAAAAAGGAATTAATATAATTAAAATACATAGCAGCAATAAATTTATATGTTACGAATAAATATACACTAACTATAAAAAAAAAAAAAGAAACAAATCCTGCCGACCTAGGGTTTAGGGTTTAGGGTTTAGGGTTTGGAGCACATACCCAATGTGCACGACAGTCTCCACTGCTTCTCTGAATTGAGCAGCAAGAGCAGCAATGGCTTGCTGCACTCCATCAGGTTCGTCGTGCAGCAGTACTGCAGCAGCAACAGCAGCAGCAACAGCAGCAAAAGTAATAACATAATGAACACAACAGCAACAGCAACACCAGCAGTAACAACAATAGCAGCAACAGCAACAGCAGCAACAGCAACAGCAACAGCAACAGCAACAGCAACAGCAGCAACAAAAGCAGCAACAGCAGCAACAGCAGCAACAGCAGCAGCAGCATACCTGCATAGTTGAGTACGAGCCCCATTTTAACGGAGAGAGGTACTTCTTGTGCGTCGGGTGTATCCTCAGCTTCAGGTGTATGCTCAACATTATTATTATTATTATTATTTATATTTATTTGTTTATTTTTATTTATTTGTTTATTTTTATTACTTTTCTCTAATATATCTAAAGCATTCCTATACAGACCTAAACTTTGCTTCCTTAAGGATTGACACTCATCAGGGTCCGTCACTACCTATACATAAATAAATAAATAAATAAATTATTTATTTATTATTAATGTATTATTGTTTGTTTATTTATTTATTATTCATAATTATATATAGAAATTAAATTATTTAGTGTAAATAATTTATAACAAAAACAGGAAACACTAAAATAAGGGTTTAGGGTTTAGGGTTTAGGGTTTAGGGTTTAGCCAATTAGATAGCCAAGCTTAACAGACCTGAGATGCATAACGATAGACGTCTGCGTTGAGTTGCAAGTAAAAGACTCTTGCCTCCTGCAGATAAAACAGAAACCCCCCAAACCCTAAACCCTAAACCCTAAACCCTAAACCCTCGATAAAGGGAAATGGCATATAGACCTCTCTCCCTCTATACGTTTCATAGCAAGTAACATCGAACTACCGCAAGCAAAACCTTGATGTTTCCTTATCAATTTAGGGTTTAGGGTATAGGGTTTAGGGTTTAGGGTTTAGGGTTTAGGGTTTAGGGTTTAGGGTTTACCAGATTATCTGCAGCTGGTAGTAGAGCACGATTAACCATATTATGTATTTTATTAGCAAGTTCTCTTACTTCATGAATAATTTGTCTTAAGAAAAGATTTAATCTTTTTATAAAATATTCATAATAATATAATATTATTTCTGCTGTTAATGTATCTAATAGTTGCTGAGGTATTGGTACACCTTGGCTTACTGCTGCTGCTGAATCAGGAGCTATAATAGTACTACTACTGCTGCTGCTGCTGCTGCTGCTGCTGCTGCTGCTGTCAGTGGTGCTGTTGCTGTTGGTGTTGTTCGTACTGTTTGTTGGGGTTGGGGGAAGAGGAGGGGAAGGAGAATTATTAGGGGAATCGCTGTCTTCGTCAGAGGAGGTTTCGTCATCTGCTGCTTCTGCTGCTGCTTGAGCTCGCTGCAGTGCAGCAGCAGCAGCAGCAGCACTACGTTGCCGCTGCTGACGTACCTTAAGACGAGGTACTAAGTTTCTTGTTGCTCCTACACCTTTTGTTACTGCTGTTTCTGCTGCTGTTGCTGCTGCTGATTCTGGAGATTCTCCAGCTAATGTTAATCCAGCAGCAGCAGCAGCAGCAGCACGGCATGCAGCAGCAGCAGCACCTCTATCACGAGCCATACGCCATGCAGGGCCTGCTGCCTTCAGCACTGCATGCGCTCCGGATATCATGTAGTAAGAAGACCGACTGTCGGATATCATCGCCTTTACTGTATTCGCCTGCATGCGCATGCACATATTTACACACGAGGGCTTAGGGTTTAGGGTTTAGGGTTTAGGGTTTAGGGTTTCTTAAGGAATTATGGTCCATGAGCTGTTGTATATGAAAAAGCAAGCTGCAATACGCCGGAGTCCCAAACCTCCCGTGTCACAAGCTCCTACTCCTTGATTTGAGGGTTTAGGGTTTAGGGTTTAGGGTTTAGGGTTCAAGACGTACGAGAAGTTCGCGATGTTTTCGCGACAAAACAGGACGCATTCTTACGGCATCCTTAAATGCCTGGAAGATTTCTGCGCAAATACGCCCAACACTCCTGCATTAACTCTAGGGTTTAGGGTTTAGGGTTTAGGGTTTAGGGTTTAACACGGTAAAGTATGCTGCAGCAGCTCAACGCTTACCGTCTCTGTTTCTGCATTGTGCTGTTACTTCTATTTTTGCCTCTGCTGCATAAGAGAGGGGATCTCCTTCATCTTCTGTTGCATCTGAATGGTGCGAAGCAGCAGCATTTCCCTTATGATGCTGCTGGTCTTGCTGCTGCTGCTTCATGTGCTGTTCATGGTCCTGATGCTGCTGCTGCTGTTGCTGCGGCTGCTGCACAAGGAGGCCACCAAATCGAGCTGCAACAGCACTCCCTGGAGCCACTGACGGCCTCCAAGGGCCCCTATTAAGGGCACTAGATGCCATGAGAAGAACAACAGAGATGTAATGGATATTATTTACTGATAGAAGAAGAAGAAAAGAGTAAAGTTCCTCTTGATCACGAAACGGAAGATGAAGGCGCCACGCCACTAGGGCGGGGAGGACGGGATCAAGAAGCCGCTTTGGGGAAATAAATACGAATAAATCATAAAATAAACAATAAAAATGATGTTTAAGTAAGCAATAGCTTATAAAAGGTTGATGTTCTTGTGATAGTCTGTATAGGTATTATGCGTGCAGGTATGTATAATTGCTGACTAGCGGTGCTGATCGCGGGGTTTGATGCCGCCGATCCGCCGAAGAAAAAGTTGTATTTGAAGTTTTATTCATGAATTAGACAATAAATAACAAAGATTAATGAATAAAGATGATCATCATGCCTTAAGAACGATCAGATCGAGCCCACGGGGAGCCCCAAGCCACGCCGGCAGCCGTATGAAATCGGGTCAGGGAAAGCGGAGGAAAATGACGAAAAAAACAACGACTTTTATTTCATTACCATTTCAACATTAATTATTTATAAATTGAATTTTAAATTAACTTAAAGATGGTTTTTTCATGGAGGATCGGGGGAATGAGAACGAGCCGTGGACTCCCACACCAGTCCATTGGCTGACACCGGTGTTCCTCCTGTTGTCTGTCATGTTTTATAACTATTTGCATATTTATTGCATATATCTATTCACTAGAGAAGTTTAATAAACTAAGAAGGCATGCGTCTTTGTTTTTTCCTCCTGTTTCGTCCTCCACGCACACACCGTACAAAACACGAAGACAGCAGGCAACTCGAAGGTAAGAACAGCGGCATAACATAGTCACAATAAAACAATTAATGCTTTCTTTGCATTACCTAGCAGTTACTAGAAAAGAAAAAAGCCTAATAAAGAGAGAGGGAAAAAATATTTTAATTAATTCTTCTTCTTAGAGCTGCTCCATTACATACACCACACCCTATACGACACAAAAGAAGCACTACACAAAAGGATTTAAATGAAACTTTAAGTCTAAAATATATTTTTATTTATAAATAAATCATTAATTAGAATATTCTTGAGGAAAGCAAAGAGGACAAAGCAAACAGTTTCTGCAGCAACACGAGGAGGAGCAGAAGTTGCCGCCGCTGTTGCTGCTGTTGCTGCAATTGCTGCTGCCTCTAAATACATATTAATGTAAAAAGAAAAGAAAAATATATATTAAATTATAAATAAATAAAGGGTTTATTCTCTAAATTTATTTTTTTTCTTTTTGTTATTTGTATGACAGCTACGCACGGCGTCTCAAGCACAACTCATCCTACATACAACTACATATATACTACATATAATAATACTATATATATATATATATAT